TGCATGAAAATATGATGAACATCACCCCGTTAGACGACTAGGGTTAGAAATCTAATGCTCATAGCTCGTTTATTCCGTATGTAGATTGATTATCATCCCGATATGGTTATGGCATGAGACTCCGGTGATCTAGTTTGCTAATTGCTCATGATTTGATCTTGCTTTTAGTTAATTGCTCGTTTTTAAGTGCTCGTTTAGTGTTAATCAACCATCCAATCAATTGTTTAGAATGTTTAGGACTTTATTTTCTGATTTGGACAATTATTTAGTAGACAAAGCTCCGAATAGCCTTCCCTCGAGATCGACCCGAGTCAGGTAACTCAGTTATCTTTTGCCCATCAAATCTTTACTAAAAAGGACCGTGACTGCATCCACCCGTCCAAGAACGCTGCCCGAGCACAGGATCCAGACCAATTGAACGTGGGCCTCGGAAGCTGTTATGGTGGGCCTGTTGGGTGGTGCAGACGATAGTGATAGGATTGCAACAGCGGATAATTCCCTCAGGTTGTCAGCTTGGTGTTTGAGGAGGTCGAGGAGGGGTGGGACTGCACCAGTTGTCACGATCCTGATCTTGTTTCTGGTGACAACGAGAGGAAATTAAAGGAGTGCAGATTTAAACTAATGGTGGTCAATGAAGCAAATAATATTTGACATGTATATTGAAGAAAGTGATTTCGTGTTTCTTTAATTGGTGTGGAGCATCGAAACGAGCGGCTCGATAACTCTGGCTGCAGCGAACCGGCAGCGGACGCCGAATTTGGAATTAACGCTAGTGGACTTCCTCACAAGCCTCCTCACGTCCCTCGCCGTCTCCATCCTTGCTTTCAGATCCCCGCCAGTCAGCACCCTCGCCACATCCTCCACGACCATTTTCTAACTCCACAGCGACGGCGACGGGGCGGCGTTGCAGCTGTTTATGTCGTCATCGTCTCTTTCTCGCCTTTTCAACATTACATCCTCGTCGTCTTCCTCTCCCTCCTTCAATTCTCTCTCTAGAACCGTGGTCCATCCACTGACATCAGCACATGAGGGGGCCTGGGAGAAGGGATATTTGTTTGATGATCTTCTTGGTCGGAGGAAAGATTTTGGACATTTGGCTTCAAGAGTTGTACCATGACCATCTGCGGTGGGTTTGCCTGCGGTTTCATGCATTGCGGATGTTGATCGTAGTTTATATTTCACTTTTTTACAGTTTAAACGTAACTTAGCGTCTTAAATCACAATGCCATAAATGGGAAATACTATGGTCCCGTTACAGAATCATTCCGTTGAGAATTTTAACAATTGGATCATCGTGTAGTTAGTATAGGATTGGTGATCCAACGGTTAAAACTCCCGAGAGAATGATTCTGTAATGGACCGTAGAATTTCCATAATAAATTCATATTACATCTACTTTTTCTTAAATAAATCTTCATTATTTTTTGACTTAACTGCAAACTTTATTCTTGTAGTGCAAAATTAACTAGGAGCATCCACAATGCATTGAGTCTAATTTTACACGCGTGACATATAAATTAACTTAAGTCCGGAATGATATGGACAAACTCAAATAAATAAAATCCAAAAGATATTCAATGCAAAAAAAAAAAACAATAATTGGTCTCAATGTTCTAGAAGTCGCTAGGCGCTCGACCAGCGCCTAGCGCCTAGAGCGCCTAGTCGGGGCCTAGAAATTAGGATATATTATTTTTATTTATTTTCACAATTTCACCAATAAAATTACAACTTATAATTAATAAATCCATACACCTAAGTCCCAATAATATTATTAATATAATATTAATATATTATAATGAAAACATAATAGCAATTAACAACACACATGAACATAATTGTAAGAAAGAACACAAATACACAATGAACATAAAATTATACTATTATCCTTTTTATCATTTTTCAAATTTAGAGTTTTAAATTTCTATTAAGTTCTTCTCATTGTAATTTTATCA